CTATCTCTCTCTCCCTCTCCTTTCCTTTCTCTGAAATCAATAAAGACATATTTAAAAAAAATCACCTGTGGGATGATTTAGGCATCCAGAAAAGCACAGGAAGTTAGTACTGCAACTTGAAAGACTTTAAACCTTGTAAAGAACAACAAAAATAAAGTTTTTGAGATGGCTAAATTTCACGCGTAGGCTTGGCTGGGCTATGGTGCCCACTTGTTTAGCCAAGCATCCATCTAGATGTTGCTCTGAAGATACTTTGTAGATGTGATTAACATCTATTACCAGCTGCTTCTAAGTAACAATTGCCTTTGATGATGTGCGTGGGCCTCTTCGATCTGTGGAAGGCCCTAAAAGCAACAGCCGAGGGCTGGGATAGGAGAATTCTCCTTCAAGGCTGCAACAGGAAAACCCTGCGTGGTTCCACACTGTTGGCTGCCTTAGGACTTCACACTGCCCAGCTCCAAAGTCGGGTAAGCCGATGCCTGAAAATACATCTCTCTATCTCTTATTACTTTCATCCTTGGAGAACCCCGATTGATACACTTTGCAAATGTCATTCTTAGAAACCAAGTAGACTTTTGTTTGTTTGTGTCTATCACAGGGAGGACCCAGGTTTCTGAACAAAGGTGATACATAAGGTATACAAAATTGAGGGCTACTTATATAACTGACATCAACCAGTCACATCAGCTGTGGTTGAGAGGAGATGGAAATTCAAAAACTTTCCTTTAATGTTGGGAAGCTCTTAGGAAGTAAGCCTAGATTTTGGAAATATCTTCTTAAAAGGTCTCAGCTTCCTACAAAATGAAACGGAGGCAAGCGTAACTGTGCATGTGGTCTAAAAACTTCTATATGAAAATGATTAAATATTTAGGTCAGTGATTCTTAATATAAAGAAATGGGTAAAGGTGTTGAGTTCCCTGAACAATATATCCAGGGGGATCATGAACGCACTACTTCAACCAATCATGTGATATTTATTGAATACATTGTGACAAAAATCACCCTATTCTGCCTGCTCAGCCATTGAAATACTTGACCTAAATGGACTAGCTTTTAGTAGTTAATGAATAATTTGTAAATGTAATATCTCAAATGAGAACAGCAGAATTTTCCAAAATTAATTTCTCAGGGCAATAATTCTGGGTGCTATCCAGAGGAAAGGTGTCAGTGGTTAAATTTAGGACATACTAAATTGTATACAGTAAATTGTAACTCTTCAGGGGAGACATGCTATTCTTGTTTCCAAAACCAATCTGATCAGGGAACACATCCTCCAAGTAGTTGTATTAGTCTTGCATACCTGCTGGAATTGAAACCTAAGTCTGTATTTTTTTCTTTACTAACTCTGGTCCCTTCATTTGCCTTTCTGGAGTCTCATTCTCCTGATATTCTGTCAGTGATACCTACTTCTTAAAGGTGGTTTTGAAGCTTCAGCAAGCTAATTTTGGAAGTAAAAAAGCATTAAATTTTTTTTTTTAAAATGCTGCCTAAATACGTAGTGGATAGTTTGTTGCTGCTTTTGCTACTTGATGGCATCTGATGAACTTCCCTATTTGAGGTTAATTTCCCATTTTGAAGTCTTTGTGGGCAGTAGGACTGTACCTTCTATAGAAGCTGGAAGGAGCAGGCATTTTATTTCTCAGTTTGGCAGCTTACGTCTTGGGCGTTTGATGTTGGCTTAGTTACTAAAATACTCCCTGCTGGGACTTAGAGTCCTGAGGAGTGACCCGGGGTTAATGTGACCCCAGTTATACTTGCTATAAAATGTTTTATCTCTGTATATAACTCTACATCTGCCAGTAGATGAGCTCAAATTCCCTGAGGAAATTAACTATAAATATTAGGTTTTCCTTGACTTGTATTGGTTTCAGGGAGGTATTTATTCCGAAAATATAATTTTTTTTCAAAGCAAAATATGTTATGTTAGAACGCCTTCATTTTCTGTGGGCAAGGAAAGCACATAGAGTATAATTTACAGTTTATATATATGGTTAATTAAGTCAAGCTGGAATCAAGATGTGTAGATGTTTCTAGAACTTTGACCAATAAATTGCTCTTAGGAGTCATCCTAAGCAAAAATTAATTCATTCCATGCAATTTGCAGCTGGGAGCAATAAGGTATTCTCAGGAGTTCTTGTTTTTGTTTTAGAAGTGAGCTATCTTAGGCAATTTATGGTGGAAGGCTGTCTAACTTTTCCTTAGTAGTACCTAAGCCTGAGAAGCAATCAAGGAGTGGAGCTTAGTGTGTTGGAATTTTAAAGCGGATGCTTAAAGTTGTGAATCTTTTAGAGACGCACAGCAGAGATCTAGAAAAACGCAAGGGCTTGTGAGGTCAAGGCTGCCTACTGGAGCATCTCCGTGAAACTCACAGGAACAGGCTGATGGCCAGCATCACCCTCAGAAGCATTTATGGTTTGCATTCTATTTCAATTTATTTTGATAGCAAATCACCATACTTATGATTATACAAAGATACTGTAGCTGATGAAAATCAGGGAGAACCTAGTTGCCTCCCTGGAGCTCTGGTGTGGCCCAGGTTAGGCCTCAGATGGCATTTCCAGATGGTTCCAGCTCTAGGTCTATGAGAACAATGGAAATGAATGTTAGTAAAACACAGCGAATGGGCAACAATCATAACACTGCTCAACAGCCAAGTTATTTTTATGTTTGAAGATAAACCTGTCTAGTATGACCCAGATATCCACCGTGGCCCACCTAATGAGTCCAGAATGAAAAAATGTAGGAACTCCCCAAGACCTGCATATAAAGCCATCACTTATGCTTAGGGACATTATACACTGTTTTCTTTTATGATATATGTAACTTAACTGCTTTCGGAGAGTGAAGACTCACTGTTGGAGAAAAGAAAAAAAAAATAGGACCAATGGCACATGAGTCTCCCCTCCCCCCCGCCCAGTGTTGGGACTGAGATAATACTCAGTAGTTTAGTAAAACACGGAATGGGAATTGTTATCAAATCACCTGCTTTGCAATGAAGCAAATGTGTCTTCTTCCCCTTGATTTCCCCCCTTTCTAAGACAGGACAGCGGAGTTGTATCAATTCTATTTGCACAGTGTAAGAAATTCCATATTTATTGTTCTCATTGAGTTTGTGCCTTGGAGTGAGGTTTCTCCCACAGTGAGAGCACCTGGCTGTGCGCAGTGCGGTTCTGGTTCTTAAAGTGCTTTCCATTCAACCTATTCTGCAGTGAGAGCCAATTTCTCTGTCCACTGGCAACCCAGGGAACACTAATCCTTTCTAAAGCCGCAGGGGAAAAAACGATAACTGGCTTTGAGGGACTTTTTCGGAAACAGTAATTCTCTGTCCAGTGGGCCCACAATCAATTTGGGGGCTTGAAGAAAAAAAATAAGGGGACCAATAACTGTCAAGATGACAACCCAGGTTTATAATAAGACTTCAGCTAAGAATGAAATCGCATCGTTGACTGGAAGACATGAATTGTAGGGGTACCTATGAATGGGAACCTGTGACAAAGGCTTCCGCTCCCATAAGCTGTTCAAATCTGTGCAGAGGGCTAGGCGTTCACAGAAAAGAATAGCTGGCCAGCCAGGGTTGGTTTGATAGTTTTAGGAACCGAGGAGTAGCTTTCCTCTTAGCTGTGTGAGGTCGTAGTTGACACACAAGCCAAAGCTCTCTCCTGAGAGCAGGATGCCCACAGGGCTACAGGTGCAGTGAAGCTGTTCTCGTGTGGACTGTAACCTTAGCTTCTGCTCTTTGTGACGAGTGGTCTGGAGAGGAGTTTTGCATCCAGAAAATGTTATGTTACTATTGTGCATCTTTGTCAAATAGAAGCCTGGGCTTTAGCCCCCCTAAAAGTGGTTTTAGGAACTGCTTCACACGAGACATGTGCCACTTGTGCCGCTGGGGAGCGCCTGTTACAGTCAGAGCAAAATCGCAGAAGCCGCGAGGACGACCCTGCTAGCACTGCTGCTTCTGTTTCCTCCGCATTTCGCATACGTCATCCCAGGCCTGACGACAATGCCAAGAGGCAGATACTTCCAAGCTTTAGGGAATTTAAGTAACTTGCTCAGGTTCACAGAGATGGGTATTTGGAGTGGGGACTCTAGTCCTGATTGCGTAATTAAAAATGAGTCTCCTCGACCACCCCCACTGTACTGCCTCCCAGAGAGTTCATTTCCTTTTTTATTGTTTCAGATGATTTGAACAGTTGCGAGTTGAAAACCTGAATATGATGGAATAATTTAATTTCATTAGTCAATAGATTTTGCTTCTGTATTATTTTGGAGAAGGTTATCAGTAAATTGGCAAAATAAAAATTTTGCATCATTGGAAAGCCTCAGCTCAATTAAGATCTGACATAAACCAAAATCATTAGTTTTATAATTTTTTTACATCTCAGAAGTGATATCTTTAAAATGAATACAGTTAAATCTGGAAAGAGAATATTTTTGCTGAAATGTGCAGAGTTGATGTTCTCTTCAGTTTCAGGTATGGGATTCTGTCTAAACTATTTTATGCTCTTAATATCTTCAGGTATTTTAAAATGGGTGAAAATGTAATATCTGAGAGAAACAGGTGATGATATTTCAACAGTATTGCTTTAACTTGAAGAATGCTTCTTTCCTCCTAAGAACACTACTGTATTATCTGTAAGACTTGATGGGCTCTGTCTTTAAACTCATCTATTTTTTTTTTTTCTATTGACTGCATCAAAATCCCTGAAGTGGCCCCCCTGCCGTCATTATCTTAGATGTGAGCTTATGGTGGGTATAGTACCGGGCTGGGGACCCTGAATCTAGTCCTAAATGTGCCAGAAGTTGGTGTGCATACTTGTGCAACCTCCTTAACTTTCCCATCTGCTTAACAGTCTCATCTGTAAAATGAGTTTGAATAGATAATAGTTAGAACGGGAAGAAGACTTTCAAATTATTTATTCTATGATGTTTTAAATACGTTGCACAACCCTTTTCCTTTTCTGCCCTTACAAACAATACTTACCTAAGATAACACACATGCATCAGTCCTGCAGGGTAGCTTTCATTTCAGCATCAATCTGAAATGGAAAAAGTGTTCTCTAATTATTCACGAAGCGTTTAATTTGTAGACTGCTAGATCGGGGAGGGAAACAGCCTCTGAACCTTGATTAGAGGAAAAGGATTCTTGTTAAAATGCAGTTTTATATTGAACATTTTATTGGCCATCCTTCACGTTTACTTAGTTTTACGCCGTCCCTGCCCTTGAAGAGTTTACAGGGTTCTATGAGAAGTAGACCAGAAAGAACAAGTGCCAATTATTGGGTGCGCACAGTGGGAAGGGGCAGGGGGAGAGCTCGGGCGCCGGGAAGGGTCCCCAGGGCAGAGGCCTAGACTGAACCCTGAATCTGCTTAACAAGTAGCATTGGCTTAATAAATGCTAGCTCTGGCATTAAGCATCACAAAATCTGGTTATACTGAGAGAAAGAAACTCTAGCGAATATGCCAGCTTCCCCTGAAACATGAGAGAGGAAGGGAGAGGGAAGGCTGGGCGGGGAGTGCGAGAGGAGGAGGCAGTCCCCTGTACCCGGCGCCCACTTGGCTGTTTGCCTTTGTCTCTGTTTTCAGGATTTTGATGATCGACTCCAGCATGTAACAGTGGCTTCCTGAATACTTTGGGAAATCATAATTGATGCCCGCTTGCAGTCCTCTGGGACGTCTTAGTGGAAGCAGAGTAATGAGTTCTCAGAAGAGTGGGTAGGGTGCCCTGCCTGAGTAATAGAGAAGAGAGAAAATGTAATTTCCGGTCTAATTGCGCAGCGGCGCCTCTTCCTGCAACCAGGGGATCTCGGTGGCATAGTAAGAGCGCCACGGCGAAGCCAGAAGGTAATTACACCGGTGGTTCTGTTTCCTGGCCACGTCCAGACCAGGGTGCGGGTGAGGCTGGGTTACCCCGTAAGAAACACAGGCGTGGTTGGGAAGCCCCCTTTGCCACTCTTCTAGCGACTGCGCCACGTCAGCTGAGAATGGCAGGTGGGGATGGATCCCTGGGTATGACTTGGAGTGGGTGGGATTTACTTTTAAGGAAAAAAATTTGTCAAGCAAATATAGGACAAGGAGGTTTAATGATAAATTATAATCCACATGTTATAGGGTAAGTGGGACAAATATTTATACGAAGCATTGAGAATCTTACAGGGAATGCTGTTCTATCCGATTTTGCCCAAACTTAAAGTCAGGAAACAGAAGCGGTCCTGCTAACCTAGCGATGAGATCGAGGGTGAAAGCCAGTCCACAGGGTCACGGAAACACCAGAGGGGCTGACCTCCGGGGCTCGAAGCAGCCCGACGGGCACGGTGCCTGGGCAGCTCCGTTGGTCCCTGAGCAGCTCCTGCAGGGCCGGCCGCCCAGCAGCACCGCTGCGCAGACGTGCCCGCCGACGGGCAGATGGCCGAAGGGAAAAACCCGCCTTCTCTTCACCGTGGCTGGAATTGCTTTTAAAATGAAAAACACACTGAAAAGCAACTGGCAGAAATGAAAGGCGGGGTGCTTGGAGGAAGGCAGAACGCACTTGGAGCATAAAGCTGCTTGTCCCGTACGTCAGAGGGGAAACCGTCCTCAAGCGGAGATCACGGGCGAGGAGCAGTTACCAAAGTCACGTATTTGACAGAATGTAAAAAAGTATTCAGACTTTCCCCCTTTTTTCAGTAACTGAATTAGACTCTCAGCATATTCTACTGGTAAGAGGATTTTATTTTTCTGGGATAAGGCAACCTAAATTTAGGTAGTAAAGGAAGGCACTGCTTAAGGTAACTGTTTAATGCCAAATGTTTTAATGTTCATAATGACCGAAATATCCCAACCCTCCAGCTCTTTCAGGTTTTTTGTTTATAATTTTAGTTGGTTTGAATTTTAGTAAAAGATAAATATATATTTCTCAGCAGAATTTAAAGAATACACATTTATCCTACTGTAGTCATTTTATCTGGAATTCTGACTTTATAAATCGTTACAAACAAGGTTAGCAATCAGGTTCGGGACTAGAAAATAATGATGGAAACCGGGAGGGAAATCAGAATCGCTAAGGGTATAAAGAAACTGCAGCTCAGTTTGTCACGTTCGTTCAGACTTTGTGAGACATCACCCAGCGAAAGCCAGAACGGGCACACCCTCACTGAAATATTAAGAGAGCTGGGGTGCACAGCTCAAGCCTTTAAAACGTCCTTTCTACAGCCTAACTTTTTAAAAGTCGCTCCCAGGAGCAACGCTGCTGCTGGCCGCGGAGAGCAGGGTTTCCCGTCGACAGGAGCCAGACTGGACTCGGGGGACACTGCGCGGGGACCCTCAGGGCTTGATTTGCAGGATAATATTCTCCTGCATGAAGCTGTCTGCAGGGACACGGCTGCCTCCCTGGGAAACTGAGGCAGGTGTTCAAACGGGGGCCCAACGGGCTCTGGGAGGGGTTGCTGAGCGAAGAGTTACACTAGGGGGTCTTATCGCTTTCTTCCCACATTTAAACTCCTGTGATTTTAAAATTAGGTTCTTGGATATTTTCAATTTGCCTAATGGAACAATAAATAAGAGAAACAGAATAAAAAATAAGAGACCAATGAAATGCAGCCAGGCCCCGTTGCCTTCCTGTCTTAATAAATAACTGGAAATCCACATGCCCGGGGGGCTGCTTTACCTCACAGTGAGCGGCGGGTGATGGGTGGCATCTGCGTTCGCATCACAGGCAGGTTATTTTATGGGGGAAAAGGGGTCAGAAATGTATCATGAACGCTGCTTCTCCAGCACATGACAAGGAGCAGGGACACCCACCGGGAAGTCTCGG